AGATGGCTCAGTGGTTAAGAGAGCCCAGTATTCTCACAGAGAACCTGAGTTCAGTTCCAGCACCCACTGTGAGGGCACCTGCATGTGCACATCCCCACACACAGATGAAGAAAGACTACAATCTATGACATCCAGAAAAATGGTAAACAAACAGAAAAATTCTTTTCCTATAAATAATAACCAGAATATAAAAGAACACCCCTTGAGCCAAAATATCAAAGTATTTAAAATAAAAATATTAACCAGCTAGCAGCTGAAGCTTGGTGAAAATTTAGAGCATCAAAGGTGAGGATATTCTTGCAAGTAACTTACAGTGTTTGGTTTGTGCTTAATATTTTGTACCAAAAATAAATGTGGAAAACAAACTGAAACATTGACATAACTTATTATTTTTTTTGCTCCTTGGCATTCAGACACAGTCATAGTGAAGATCTGTCCACAATATCAAATTCTTTAAAGGGTCACTGGTTACCTTCTGTGGTTGGTATGGTTGTAGTGGGGCAGGCTGGTTGTAATGGGTAATTGCACCCTGGGGCATGCTGTGGTTAATATTATATCTGCCTGAAGTTTACCTATTGGGGCTTAAGAGCCAGTGTCAGTCCCGTTCCAGTTTCATCGATACTTCTTTGTGTTTCCAGACCATTTTTTAAAACAGCTCTTTTGACTGGCTTGGGCTGGGGGTGGGGACGCAGTCTTGTGTAATGGTGATGGATCTCCCTTGTTAGAACAGAGTTACACAACCCTGCATTTTTATCATTCTAATGACTATTGCTGGACGCGGGAAGCTTACTTTTCTTGCCAGCTATTTATACAAACTAATCAGAGACTTGATACAATGCAGATGGCGATAACCTTTTGCCATACAAAGTCCACGTTGAGTTTTTCTTTGGCAGGAAACCATTTGCCTCATTCAATTTTCTGGACCAAAAAATTCTGTGTCTGAGATGCAAGGGTAGCAGATGATGTAAACTATTTCAGAAACACAAAAGAAAAGTGACAAGCTTCTACCACATTCCATGGGCATTACCACAGATCTAGTTGCCTCTGAAATCCTGGTATGAAAAATGTTCTTATTGAATTATGTTTTTATTCAAGCATGATGAGGCACAAAGATGGGGGGAACTGTAAAATCTTTTCAGTAACCCATCCACCCCCCATCTGCCTTTAAAGCACATTCCAAACACAGATCTTGTGTAATTCTTTGCCTGACCCATAGTGCTGTCATTATTTTTGCTATCTTGAGTTTAATGTATTGTCTTGCTGACAGATCTAATGGTTCCTGTAAATGTTCTCCAGTTCTGTGCAAGACGAGAAGGAAAATAGAATCACAGCTTAAAGTGTTCTGTGGATGATGAACAGTACGGAGGGAAAGCTCTGCGGAGCTCCATGCGCATATAAAGGAAGGCTGGCGGACTGAGCCAAGGTTAACATTCCAGGAGACGCTTTGTTATAGAATGGCAATAAAGGTACAAAAAGAAATTTTTCATTTTTTTTGTATAAAACAGCATGTGTGTTAGCATGCTCACGTTCCTATTATTTACTCAAGACCAGCTCATTCCAGAGTATCCTGGAGCTTGCCTACTCCATTCATTCATTCATTGAATAAATATCTGAGAGCACATACTTTAAAGCCACATGCTGCATGGGACTGGAGAGATGGCTCAATGGTTAAGAGCACTGGCTGCTCTTGCAGAGGACCTGGGTTCGATTCCCCGCACCCACATGGTGGCTAACAACCATTTTAAACTCCAGTTCCAGGTGATCTGATACTCTCCTCTGACCTCTGTGGGCATTGCACGACATGGGTGCACTTACATACATGTAGGCAATACATTCATACACATAAAAACAGTAATTAGCCGGGCGTGGTGGCACAAGCCTTTAATCCCAGCACTCAGGAGGCAGAGGCAGGCAGATCTCTGTGAGTTCAAGGCCAGCCTGGTCTACATAGTGAGATCCAGGACAGCTGGGGCTACAGGGAGACCCTGTCTCAAAAAGACCAAAAACGAAAACAAAAACAACAAACAAACCAGTAATTATCATATTTTTAAAGCCACATGTTATCAAGAGCACTGTGCTGAAAAAGAATTCAGTGTACATTAGCTTTGCCCCTTTCCCTTTCCACCATCATTCTTGTGTTTGAAGTGTCCTGCTTACCGTTGACTCCCATGACTTTGTGGAAGAGGCCTTTCCAGAAAAGCAGAGCATACGGAGTGTCTGCGAAGATGGGATTGTGACTTCTCAGCAGAACAGCTAGAAAGGGAGAGTGCTTATCACTTAGTGAAGAGCAAAGATGGCGATACCCACAGCTGTCTGTCTCTTGGAGGACTACCACTAGGATTCTCCCTTTGAATATGGAAAATAGAAGTTTAAAGACAAATGCCATCCTAAACAGATAATTGGACTTTTTCCCAGAAATTATACTGAGTAATGTGTGTGTTTGTACATGTATTCTGGTCTGTTCCAATTATTGTTTATATTGGTAGAACTTCTCCCCCTAGAATGTATATAAACTACAAATGTAAATATATGTGCACATATAACTACATGTATACATTATAGTTGAAGCATTTAAATGTGTTCAATTTGTTACCCTTTTCAATAGTCCAGTGGCCTCATTCATGGTCACAAAGTCTGCGTTGGTCCTTGTCACATCTTTTCATTAGTTCTGCTGCCCTTGATGTTGCTATCTCCTGGGGCTTCCAGGATCTCTTCATATTGATATTGCTCAAGAGACAGATATCTCTATCTGCCCTTGGCTCACAGTGATTGTTAGTGGTGTCATCTTCTGTTACATGCTTGCTATTATAAAACTGATTCAGGAGTCTTATTGCATTAACTTTTTGCTCTTTCCTCTACCTTCCTAGGAATGCAAGCGGCTTATTGGGTCCTATCTCCTTTAGCCTACATAGTTATACTCTATTGTCCTGTTGTCATGGTGACCAAGGTGTCATGTGAGATTGTCGCCATCCTAAATATCCAAATGCAAAGAAGACTTATGAATCCCTGCACCTAAAGAGACTTCTACCAAGCATCTCTTCTGCTGAGATTGGGTTGAGTGTGTGGAAAGACTGGTCCAGTCTTAGGGTCTCACAACAACATCTAACATCTCTTGTTCTCTAGCCTTTCCCTTCTTTTCTCTGCAGATTATTTTCTTGTCTGAAAGATGGAAAAATCTCAGACTTATCATGCATTCATCCCAAATCTTCTTGTTCTTCATCAAGTGGGACACTCCTTAAATGCTAAGAGACAAGACCTTTAACGCTGTTGAGTGAGCCCCCAGTGTATATTTGGGAAACGTCTCCATTAACATCTTGCTTTCTGTTCTGTCAAATAGCCTTCTGTACCCTATGTCTTCCTATATCCCCATCTGAACTAATTTGTTTTCTCTCACTTGAATTTTGAGGAATGCAGTGATGTATTTAAATGCTCTTCTCAAATTGCAGACCTTCCAGATGTTTTCTGAAGTCATTTTTAGTTTTATTTTCTTTAAACTCATGTTTAACAGTTTTAGTTGTAGCTCACAGTAGCAAAATTTAGGTAGGAATAGTTTAATCATAAGCAGTATCCACTGAGTATATACCAATGGAGTTTTCTTTATACAGATATAAATCTTATAAAATGGGAAAAATCTAGATCTTCTAGTGAGTATACCCCTAAAATAAATGGAATCAATTTTATATTTCAAATCACATCTTTTTTGCTTGTTTTTTTTTGTTTTGTTTTGTGGGGGACAGTCTCCCTTTAGCCCCAGCTGGCCTGGAACTCTTATGGAGACCAGGTTGGCCTCATACATCTTCCTTTCTGGAAAACAGGTAGTGGTTCTTCTATCATTACCTAGCCTGGATTCCTTGTAAGAACTTGCTAGAAATATATCCTGATGCTTTCTTACCTTTCCTACTCAATTCTAGTGAAAAGCCACCCTAGAAAATTGAACGGTGATGCTAAACTCACCCCTGGCGTTCTTGTGCCTTTGAGGTTTGATATTGTAAGACATCGGTAACAATAGTGTTTAAAAGGCTTCATCTATCTATAGTGAAGCAGTAGCATGTAATGTCTAAAACAAAATGCACTTGTCCTAAAATAATAAAGCTCAAATGTCAGATTTATTGAATAGATGTTTTCTCATGAAGACAGGATACCGCCAAACCAGTTGATTTTATGCTAACCCTGGGTGGTCCAACAAGATGAAGTATTGGATCAATTCTACATTTGTGAAGAAGCAGTGGAAAAACAAATATAGGAAGGAGATCAGCCATCATAAACTCTGGAAAAGACACATTCTCTTACATTTTATTCTGGGTAGGCTTGTGGTGGTTTACATAGAAAGAAATGGAGAAATGCTTCAAAGTAGATGCGTAGGACTCAGGTTTGGGTCACGTTTTCAGAATTTGAGACAGTTTAACAAGACATGGTGATATTGATTAAAATTCATTTCATAAACACATTCTTCATTGGTGAGTTCCCTGGAGATGGTGATGATGGATGATGATAATGATATGGTGATGATGGTGATGGTGATGGTGATGATGGTGATGATGATGATATGGTGATGATGGTGATGGTGATGATGATTATATGGTGATGATGGTGATGATGATGATATGGTCATGATGGTGATGGTGATGATGGTGATGATGATGATATGGTGATGATGATGATGTGGTGATGATGGTGATGGTGATGATGGTGATGATGATGATATGGTGATGATGGTGATATGGTGATGATGGTGATGCTGCTGCTGATAGTGATATTGATGATGGTGATGTGGTTATGACAACTATAATGATGACATATTTTAAATGTTTTTGAAGCTCACAATGTTTCTATAAGACCATTGCAGATTCCAGTCTATGCCTGTCTGTTTTGCTTTTCTCATTGACCAGTGCTCCTATTCCTCACTCCCATGAAATGCTAATCATCTTCACAGGTACTTGCTACCTAAGAGAGGCAGACAGTCAGATATAACACTCAGACTTTCCCCCTTGTCTTTGCAGCAAATCCTTCGTCATTCTAGAGAAAACTCAACCAAAGTTATATTTCTCATCACTGATGGATATTCTAATGGTGGAGATCCCAGACCAGTTGCAGCATCGCTACGTGATTTTGGAGTGGAGATCTTCACTTTCGGCATATGGCAAGGGAATATCCGGGAACTGAATGACATGGCTTCTGCCCCGAAGGAGGAGCACTGCTACCTGCTCCACAGTTTTGAAGAATTTGAGGCTTTAGCTCGCCGAGCATTGCATGAAGGTAATTGAAGCTAATAGCATAACCCAGGGACCTTGAACTGGAGTTTCTTTCTCATTGCATCAAACTCATTGAAGAGTGATCTCAAACCCTCACGTGGCTCTTTGCCACACATGATATTTGAGAGTGCTTTGGGTGTCATGAGATGTGCTGAACTGCCCAGAGATGGCATGCTGCTGGCCTTTCAGCAACCTTGGTTTGCTTTGTGTCTTAACAGCTGTGATGTATTTTCACTACCATGTCCATATGCTCCCATCTAGATCCATGGAGTGAATTGAGGTGTGTTTGGAGGCCACACACAGAGTGGGAAACCTTGACTGAGATCTCACTTTCAGTTATCTGGACAAAGGAAGTAAACATTTGGAAATGCGCACAGTGAATCTCACCAGAATGTTTCCTGAAATCCACAGGAAGATATAGGGACAGTAAAGACTTAAGACATTCTTCTTGCCTTGGCAACTGGGAGATAAATAGCTTTTGTCTTAAGGGATTCAGCCCTGAAAGAGGAGGAAAACTAGCAAATGCAGTCATGGGAATTCTTTATACACTATTTACCAGGCTGCTTGGCTATGAGCTTGCTTGTCATAGTACAAGCCGGAAGAAGAGAATGCGATTGAGAGAAGATGGGAGGTCTAGCCATGTGTCATTAGACTTGATCCTCACAGGCACACATGATAGATTCAGCCCCCATGGGGGCTGTTTGTGGGCCGGGGGAAAATCATAGCAATACAGGATTCCAAGCAACCTGTGATGCTCATAGCAAGCAGATTAGCCCTACTCTAGTTCCAAGAGAAGAACTAGTAGTTTAGAGTGAACTATCAGGCTATTGTTGTGGATATAGTATAAAGGATTAGACTCTGAGGGAGGAGGCTGGCCAAGATTATTGGAGGGACTTAGAGAAGGGCCTGGAAACTGCAAAAATGGGTTTGGGGAGCACACCTAGTTTGCATTGAAGTTCTAGGTCTATAACTTAATAAAGTTTAATTTTTAAGAGCTAAGCCATAAAAATTTAGAGTTCCTGGATTTGACTACCAGTTTTATCCCTACTGAATGAATGATTTTTGGTATATTATCTGTCTTTTGTACTTCCTAAGTTTCTGATCAATAAAATAGGCAATAAGATTAGCAACTACTTCACAGATTTGTTGCATGGATTAAGTGGATTAATGCACAGAAGATGATTAGAAAATTACTGATAGGGCAGGTGAGATGGCACAGTGGATATAGGTACTTGCTGCCAAGACTGAAGTTCAATCTCCAGGATCCATGGGATCTCTTCCATGAGGAAGAGATCAACTCCTGAAAGTTGTCCTCTGACCTTCATATGCCCATCCTGGGCATATAGCCACATACACACTAAAAATATAGATAGATAGATAGATAGATAGATAGATAGATAGATAGATAGATAGATGATAGAGTGATACATTTTGAAAAGTTTTGAAAAAGGAAATTACTGATGGTTTACTTAAAGCTCAATATATATTTATGCTACTATTATTTATTAAATGTTAATGGCAATGGGTTGTTATTCATTAGTTCAGGCAATCAAGTATGAATTTCAATTTCCTCCACTTTCAAAATGGGAATTATAATAGTGTGTGCCAAGAATACATATACCATAGCATTTTCTCAAGAGGATGAAATTTAATATCTAAATTTCACAGTCTTCACAGTGTGCAGCCCATGGTAAGAAGCTCAATAACTGAGACTATCTTTGCTCCTCCTTTTCCTAGAGAAAATGATGTGTTATGTTAACTGGGGAAGCAAAGGGGTCCCAGCTGGGGATAGTGGGTGGTATTAGATAGGATTACGAAGTTATGATTGTTATGGACTATGGATGTTATAGCAAATTAATTCCTAGTCCAACTGTTTATCTTATGAGACCAGTGTCTTCTGCCCTGAAGTAAGCTGACCCAGAATAAGGTACAATAAGACTTTGAAGGAAAAGGATGGTTTGCTGTCACACACTTGGACTTTGGAAGGTACCACATTTATTACACTAAACAGCTATCTAGAAAGAGTGGTACTTTGGTTGACTTTCCATGGTTGGTAAGAAGAAACTCCATTTTTACTGGAACAACAAAACCACATTAAAAGAGATGAGCCTGATTTCCCTTCCTCTGTATTCTTTGAAGCCACTATCCGTGTGGATGGATCCACTTCCAGCCTCAAGACTATCCATATTTCTGACCATTCTCAATAGCCTCAGCTTGCAGAGCAATGGATTCTACATGTCTTATCCCTCCACTTATCTCTCTCCTGGGTCTCAATGCTAATGTACCAGCTTTGACACCCTGGTTTTCCTTGTTCCCCAAGGTGTTCTACTGCCAAATAAACCTCTGGCCCAATTCTCAGAGCTAAGTCCCAAGGAACCCTGTCATAGACCTTTCTCCCTTATCACAGTCTATGGCCTGGAGCTTTAATATGGTGCCTGTTTTTGCTGATCTCTTTCTTAAGGCTGGACTTTTCCCTTATTTTTGTCACTGTTTGTTGTTCAGTCTTAATGCAGAAGGTCAGATGCTTCCTAGTTGAGGCCCAGGTACTCAGCTCACCACTTGCATTTTTACTTGGAGCCCATCCCTGTATCTGCACTCAGCAGTCTGGACCTAGCACAGGAATCCAGGCTAACTGGCCTGGAACTCACTACGTAGACCTTGAACTCACAGAGATCCACCTGCCACTGAATCCCAAGTGCTGGGAATAAAGGTGTGCGCCACCACTCCCGGCCAGGCTAAGATTTTAACTTCTTCAGCTGCTTATGTAGACTTATCCCTTGCCCCATTCTAGACCATCCGTTCTGAATCAGTCATCTTCAACCTTAACCCTGCCTTAAGTCAATTTCTGAACAGCTTTAAACAAGGATTCTTAGCATGCTTTCTTTCTGAGCCATTACATTATTATGTAATGTGAAGAGGCAGATTAGATTCTGGCTTTATTATTTAACTTATGTGGTTTTGTTCTTTAAGTCTTGGATCAAAAAACAACGGATGTGATGATATTTATTCTAAAGTCAATGGTCCACAATCAGCACCTTTATATAGTGATCGGGATTGTGACTTTATTTCTAACTTGAATAGGATTTTGAGAGTCTAGTTACTGCTGCCTAACCTCAGATGGAGGCAAGGGAAGGCTCCTGGTTTGGAAGCCAGGGGATGACCTGGAGGACTGACTGCGTTGCTTCCTGCTGCATCTGGAGATTCCTCTCTAAAGTACTTAATTTCTGCCTGACCCTGTGTGGCCTTGAAAACTTGTGATGAGGTCCCAGACTGAAATAACTTAACTGGGCGAAGCAAACTCCCAGAGTGTGCTCGTGCAAACAACACACATTCATATTTGGGTGGGAGCAGGAAACAGAGGGAAATCAGACAGATGAGAAAAGAGATTTTTTTTTCCAACTTTCTCTTAATATGTAATGTCTGGCAAATGTAATAGCCAACTGTTAATCTTTTTTTTTAAATTGCCTTATTTCTTTTTTTTAATAATTTATTGAGAATTTCATACATGCATATAAGGTGTTTTGATCAAATCCATGCCCACTCCCTCCCCTCTAACTCCTCCCATATCTCCCCATCACTTATCACTTTTTACTTCATGTACTCTTTCTTCTTCTTTGATTTTCTTTTTTAATG